ATATTCATTAACCTTGACTAAACCAACTGCGTCATCTCAAGCAATTTAATCTTATTAAATTTTAATTGCCCCGAAAATTTCAAAGATTTAAAAAATAATAAATCTAAATAGAACAAATAAGAATATCGATCCTAAAGTTGAATATAATCATTGTAAAGTAAGTATATAAAGGCAAACCACATAAAAGTGAAATCATCTTATTTTAAGCCTTCTCTCTTCTTTACTTGTCTTGTTTGATGTTACTTCTTTTATTCATTTAAAAATAAAATGTTTTTTTTTTACTTCAATCTTAAATGAATAGAGAGAGAATAAGAAGTTGAATGTAGAACGACGAACATAAAAGAGTGACAAGAAAGAGAAGCAAGGAATTAGATTAGTCAGCGAAATGACGAAACCCCTGCAGCAATCAAGCAAGCCACCACTAAGATCAGTCAGAAAAAGAGTCAACAATAACATAAGAGAATTGAAACCCCAAAAAAAGTATTTTTTTCTTTTATTAAATTTTATGTTTCAACTCTTCTTTTAAAACTCGTGTTATTCATTCATGGCACAGTCAGTGAATCATCGCCCTGAAGCAGCATCACTCTATCTCTCTTTTTCTTCCCTTTTTTTACCTCGTTCTTACAATATTTTGCCTTTTAATGTGGCGGTTTTATGCTTGCTATGCATTTAAAATACATAAAAAAATCTACAATGTTAAAATACATACTGCAATGATCTAAAAGAACTGCTGTTGCTTTAGCTGCTGTTTGTTGCAGTCCAAAAAAGTTGCATTTTAACATTTTTATGTTGTGTGTTGTCTCAAAAAAAGAGTTATTTTTTATGTTTTTGTTATATGCAGAAGAAGAGCAGTAGCAAAAGTGCTTGCGATGGCGAGGAACAGCATTTTTTATGTCTTAAAAGGCAGCAGTTATGTTTGACAGTCGTTTAAATATTTAATTTTGCTTTTCAACAAGTTTCAATCTTATTTAACGGTTTTAAAGAATTTGAAATTTTAACGGCTTTTCTAAATTATGAACTCAAATTTAAAATAATCGTTAGACATCAACCTTCAAAATTCAACCTTTTGATCCACGATTCAAGCAATTACTAAATCAGTCATAAAAACTGCACACAACAGCCCGCTTCAATCCGCAAAAGAAAACGTTAAAAATTAATTTTTATGTGCAAAAAAAGAGCTAAGCGAGTGAGATGGATAGATAGAAACAGAGAGCATAGAGGCAATTAAAAGAATCAGCACAACTACAACAAGAACACATTTTTCTTCATTGCTCAAAACACGGTAGAAGAAGAAAATTTTAAACATTTTTAGAATTCTTATATTTTTTTTGCTTCCTTCTCTCTAAAATAAAAACCTTGAAAAGCCTGTCTGACAGACTTACTTACTCATTCCACGCACATTTGGATGTATTGAATTGTTCAATTAGATTCAAATTATTATACTTCGTAAAAAATAATTTCTGTCTGCTTCTCCCAATCTCTTTTTTTTTTGTTATTACTTCATCTCAACTCGCTACTCGCCGTCATCGTAGACGTACATAAGGCATAGCGAATGCTATTTATAAAACTTTTTGAGAAAATCCGACTAAAGAGTAATTAACGCTTGATGCAAATGATGAAAAATATGCTATTAGATCTCAATATTTTTTTTGTTATTGTTGTTATTAATCAAAGGCGCTTTGTATGGATCACAAATGACTGTTCAATGTTGATGGCGATGAGCTTCAGGTGTCGATGTGAAGATTAAGTTGGTCATGGTAATAAAATGTAATCTTGTTGACATTTTTGAAAGAGTTTGAATCTATTGTTTTTATAAGTGTATTTTTGGAATGGATAGATGCTAGATATTTTTGGGTATAAACGCTTTGAAAAACATAATTTTTCTAAAAAATGTAAGCTAGTTTTTGAATTGAAAAAGGAATCAACTGATCTTTTTTCATAATTTGTTATATTTTACTGGGAATCGAACCCACGACTGAATTTTTCTTACAAAATTTTCCATTTCCTTTAACCCGTTTCACCACAGTCGCAATTAAACCTGTGCCTTTCTTTTGAGATTTGGCAAATTTAAACTTTAGCTCCAGAAACTCCCATAAAAGTACTCCATCCCAAATCTATATGCAGACTTTATTAGCAGCATTCAAATTTCCATAATAAGAATAATGACTTGATTATTATTGAGAGTTAATAAGATCTAATAAGCTAGCCAGACAGCTACAATACCTATACACATTTCAATTAAGAATTATGATTTCTGTCTTATTATTAAAAGTTCTCATATACGATTCTATAATTAGCATGGATATAAATTAGACCAGGGAATTATAAATCAGACAATTATATTTAAATTGATTTTTAATATGTGATAAACATTTTTATACTGTTATTTAAGCAGACAACGACTTTTATGGTTTGAAAATATCCTGATGCTTAAATTGCTGGTTTAACTGCTTAAATTTTGACTTTCGATTAGTTCTTTGCTCCAGTTTCAAGATTTTATAGCTCTAATGTAAATTACTTGTGATAAAAATTGAGAATTTATGCAGGAAGACACTCTACATTCCTGAAATTCTTGAAATTTTTTCACTCAAATGACGATTTTTCTATGAAATTTTCAACTTTTTCTTATCATAGTTTTGTTATCTTATTTTTTCCTGCCCGTAAGTAGCGTCAGGTGGCAAAAAGTGAATAATATTTCCTTATCAATGCAGTTCATACACTTGATAGAGTTCAATTCTTATTTCCAAGGCTTAGATAATCTAAAAATCTCAATTAATTCCATTTTTAATGGATGCCTTATCGCATTTGATTTTCAAAAATGAGTCACATAGTAACAAAAACAATTGTCAAGCCCACATTTTTTGAATAGAGTCACAAAAATAATTTCCTGATAACTAAAGGCTGATGAAATACTTTTAGAATTTCGTAAAGAATTTTGCCTACTTGGCGACTGATAATTCTTTTTTTAGCTATCAAAAACATCTGAATACTGAAGACGTCAACTTTTGTTTTGATTTGGATTATCACTTATTATGTGTGCGTTGGAATATTTTATTTTTAAATATTTTTTGCGGTTCATTTGCAATTTGGGATGAGTGGCAATATTTTGGGGTTTTTGCGAAATATTTTGTTTATAGCATAAAACTCGTTGTTTACTTCCCAACACAATTCAAATTGTTGTCTTTAAAAAATAGTGAATTTTCAAAGAGAGTTTTCGCGCCATTTTTCTTTTTCCATATTTAATTTTAATTTTCAAATTTTTGGTTCACTTTTCATGTAATCTTTACTTTTATTATACAATTTGATAGAAAAAGATAGCAGAAATGAACTAATTCATAAGATTACAATGATTTCTCTGCCTGAATCGATTAATTTTGTCTAAAAGCTCATTTGTTTACATTTTTTCGTACAAATTTTTAAATATAAAGAACCAAAAACAAAACTAAATCTATTTGCCATAAAGCCAAACTTATGCAGAACAAAGAGTCCGTAATTCAATCCACAAATCAGTTAATATGATTACCATAATTCCAATTCATTTAACAAAATAGTTGCTACCTGATTTGCATTAGACATGAATCATAATTCATAAATTAGAAGTTAAAAAATGAATATTTCATCACGTTTAATTAAAAAAAACCGCAACAATTTGTCGTTAATTCTTGACAGTATGGATTTTTTTTTTTAAGAAGCATGAAAAATCGCCAAATGAGTTAAAATAAGTGATTGTAATGAACACAAAGTAAATATGAAATCGTGGCATTGAAATGAAGTAGCTTTGCTAACATTTATGTTCAATTATTGATTATTAATGTGAAAATGTTTATCTCCTGTGTCAATCGACATGAGCTGTTTAACTAATGCTTCGCGATATGATCAAAAAAAAAAATCATTTGTTTCGTGAGTTTAAAAGCCAGAAATATCAAAATTATTATTGAAACTTATGTCTCAACTGTAACAACATTAAATTTATTAACCAAAACATATTGGTAATGTAAAGTCATAGACACAAAAAAAAAATCTAGTATTTCCTGTTAAATTAATAGCAATATAAAGACTCAGATAGAGCGATTATGCAGAGCAAATTTTTAGAAATGAACATAATTTCCACTTAAACTTGATTCATAACTCATTGATGCTTTAAAGTTCAAGCCTTGGAAAAAATTTATCATTTCATGTAACATTAATATTCTCAATAACTTACATTGATCTAAATCTTGAATTACGACGAAGAAAATTCTACTTGAATGAATTGTAAAAAAAAAATTCTAATTGAAAATTTATATTCAAAATATTATTTCTAGGAAGTCTTCTTTTTTCCCAGCTAATGATATGAACTGTTTTTTTTTTCATCTTAAATGTTAATCGAATCATCTTCTTCTGTATTACATCATTCGCACGAGGCAAAAATTGAAAATCATTCTCATTGCAAAAAATTTCGATTTGGATGATTTGTTTGGTGGATGTTTCCCAAAGTGTTTTGGATTTTTGTTTATTTTATGGGAATTTTGAGAAATCAGATGGGAATCGAACTAGCGCCTCATATAAACTTGATAGTTTATTATTGCTAGTTAAGTTGCTTAGCTATTTAACAACAAACACAATACTTTAGCACAGACAGAATCAGCTATTAATGAATCAATTTCTAAGAATTCATTGTTCCAAAAAATTAAAATTAAACGCTACAAAAAGTTCTAAAATACCCTCGCAATGAATTTTTAAAATTCCTCAAATTCCCCAAATACAAATCTGAACCTTGCTCTTCCCATTCGTTCATTAAAATACACAAAATTGTATTACAATACAATTCCAAAAATAAGCTATTAAAATCTTCTCACATTTAACTCTACAATTTTTTGAATGATGATATTCCGCAATTTAATATTCGCATTAGTAAGGAAGCATATAAGACAGCCTACAAGGCATCAAAGAAACGTAATAAGTGAGATGTGTATTTACATAAATATGTTTTTAATCCATCATGAAAATTTCATATTTACCTCCAAAAATTAGCATTTACTTAATTGATATTTCTTTTTATTGCTTTCTTCGTTTCCTCCAACTTTCGTCGTTCTTTGTTGCCTTATTTTTTTATTTCTTCACTATATTAACTTTGTTTTCTCAATGATTGCTTTGATTAAATCCCATAAGTTTCTTATACGTTGAAAAAAAAAAAATAAAACTTTAATCACAGCTCGCACACTTAAAAGCAGGTCATCAAAGAACTTCTTTTTTTTTTGCTATTTTATTCGAAACGAGAGACACACTCGCGGTAACGGGTTATATGTGTAAACATATATACACACTGTGTGTGCCTGCCTTGTGTCTCTTCTTTTCTTTTCTTTATGGTTTTCAAAAAATAAAGAATATCAACTACACAAATAATAATAATGATGATGATGATGGTGATATTTTTTGCACATATATCACGTCACCTTTAATTTATAGAAATTAATATTTCACTTCTACTGCAACTCAAATATATGTTTTCTATTCTTTTTTTATTTTTTGATTGACTGACTGACTCACACAGGTGTGTATTTTGCAATAAATAATATTTTTTTTTGTTGTTGCTACAACATTCACCGCACAATATATTCTCTTATATATAATTATATTGCAAATTGGTCAGATTTTTTTTTTATTTATTTACTTAATTTTTTTTTCGTACATAAGACGTAATTCAATATTTTATTTTTTTTTGTTTTTTTGTTTCGTTCAACACAAATCGATATATGTGATTAATTTCCTGTATAATGTTGCTGTATATAAAAATAAATATGTCACATGTGTATGAGCATGCAGAAATGGTTTATTGGCACACGGGACTGTACTTTGATGTCTGCCAAATATTATTATTATTATTGGCTATTAAACATCCATTAACAAATTTTTTTATTCTTCAAAAAAATGGCACAAAATAACTTCCGAAAATGCAAGGTAAACATTCAGAGTTCCCAATTTTTATTTTTCTATTCAGCATGTGAAGTCATTAAGATACAATTTCAACATACACTACTTGCTGTTTCTCAATTAATCTTTAATCTCTTTCTATTTTTTTTTTTGTATGTGCTTCACTAAAATTAAGTTTTTCTAGCTAAAAGTTGATTCACTCGATAAACTTTTCGCGGAAATTTTTTTCTTTCTTTATTTTCTCACATACACGAGTCTACGCAACAGCGCGACTTCTAAAAATATTCCAAAAATCTCTTTTTTTTTATTTTTTTTGCGCACTCAGCACTGAAGAATTCTAAAAAATCTTCTATTATTGTGGCTGCTGCTGCTACTGCTACTGTTCGTATTTTATTCCAACTAAATAAATGTGGTAAATACACAACACCGATCAATGCGCGACGTGCGTTTTTATTTTTTTTTTCTCTCTCTCTCTCTCAGTTGAGTTAGAAAAATCTAAAAAAGCGATTGAATAATTCACGAGAACAAAGCCCGCTGACGTGCTTCATATGGTAAAGCGTCTTTGTGAACTGAAATACACATTCGATATTTCAGAGGAAAAAAAACCGATTTTAAGTGTACAACATGTTATATTGAGAAAAAAAAGAGAAATAAATGTTATACACATATAGAGAGATGTACGAATGTATTATTGTACACATAGTACAGGCAAAAAGAGGGAACAGAATATAATAAAAAAAGTGAGTCATTTGAAAATACGTTGGTATATCTATTAATACTCAAACTAAAAATCTATCTCTGCACAATAACACACACTCATAATTTAAACATGCTTGTTTGTGTATGTCTCACTGTCTCATGTTTTATTTTTTTTGTTCATTCTCTTCAAAGCATCCATTCAAACGTACACACACGTACAGATTGATTTTAATGTGTTTTGTTTGCTGTTTTTACTGCACACAGGGATATCGAATAAATATCGATGCTTTGACAAATTGCATTGCACAAAAGAGTTTAGATTCTGGGTTTTTTTTTGGTTGACAAGTTTTTTTTGGATTGGAATTTTTGTGAAATTCTGGTTTAGATTTTGATATTTTTAACCCAGTGAAATATCAAGTTAAATTCAAATTTTTTGTTTGAAATTATCAACTGTTGAAAACAACTTTTAAGTCTTTAGGCTACTGCAGCTAACTTCAGGTAATACAAAAAATTCTAATACCGGAAGCTAATCAAAACTCTCTTTGATTATAATCTTTTAAAAACGAAGATTATAATCTTTTTATGAAAGATTATAGTCTTCAAAATAGAAAAGATTATAATCTTTAATAATCTTTCATACAAAGATTTTTGAATATTATAATGTTTAATAATCTTTCATACTAAGATTATTGAATATTTTAATCTTTGTATGAGATTATTTAAAGATTATAATCTGCGGGAGCCTTAAAGCTAAGTTGAAGTTTTTCGAAATTTCGTCAGAAATTATTTTGAATTTTCTAAACTGTTGCCAACTTCAAGTCATTTAAAAAACATTTTTTTACATTAAAATTTTGGGAAATTATAATCTTTTGAAGCATTTTAAAACCTCAAACTATTTAAATTATGTTTTAATAACTTTTAAACTAGCATCCTAATATGTTCACTAGCTTTAGTCACATCTATATAGACAAAAAGTCCTAGTTATTAGAAGTTAAAAACTTCTCTATTAACATATAAGAACAAATTAAAATTGGTAAAAAAAACCTTAAAATTTTATCTCAATGATAAAGAAAAAAAAACATCATCAAGTCTATTCCTGATTAATGCTCACACACGTACAACTTTTCATTTCTTTCTTTCTCAAACTTCATGTAAAATACATTTAACAATAATTCTCTCTATATTGCTTCAAACTGGATTTTTTTTTTCAGGAATTGAAAGTATTTTATGTGCCTTTGCTTACTTTAAATCCAGCTGTGTGCCACAATGCATTGTATATAGATATATACATGTATACAATTTATTAAAAACGTGTACGAGACACAAACATCAGCAAGCTATGGGTGCTTTGCTGACTTCTTTTCGGTCAATGTTTGTTAGGAGAGAAGATGAAAAATGGAAAAGAAAGAAAAAAAAGATTCTAATTGGAGTGAAGGAACAGCCTTATTACTAAAGTGTTAACTTTTGAAAGAAATCGTTTTCGTTATTTTTTTTTTTGTTAATGATTTCAAGGCACTTTTTGCTTTGTTTTGTTCCCTCTCACTGAGAGAGATCTCCTAATGATTTGTACACCATTATTATAATTTTCATTTTATTTCGTGTATTCTCCACGTTTGGCATCAATAAGAGGATGATGTGAAATGTAATGCATGCATGAATTTCTATAGAATAAAAGAAATTTTAAAGATTTAAATCAAGGGATATTCTTTTGAGAATTTTATTTCTGTATTGTGCAATATATTTTATTAATGGTGAAAGGAATAGGCAAGGTGTGGTCACGACTTGTAGACGGAAGGTTGAGGATATTCATTAATTTGTTGAATTTATAAACGATTTTTTTTTTAATTGACTTATGTAATTGGTTTCAAGTTGAATATCATTTTATTCGAGGTTGTGAATCATTTGGATTTATGAAATTTCAAAACGTTTATGTTTTTGTAAATTTTTGAAAATTTCTTGATTAAAGAATTAAGAGAATTTTGAAATTTGTAAACAAATAAGTTTTTTTTGACATTTTTAAACTTATTTAACAATTTTTAAGATAATGCAATAATTGTAAATCATGAAAGTTAATAGAAACAACGGTTTAATGTATATTCATGAGTTCCTAAACATTAAATCAATTATAAAACTCAAGATTTAAAATTTTTGAAAACAAATCATCAAAAAAATTCGAAAATCTAATTTTCGAAAAACTAAAGTTGCAAATTCGATAAACTAGTTCGAATTTCGAAAGATTAGCTGTCGAATTTTAAAGATGTTTGAAGCAGACTTACGCCACCTTATATTCGAAAAAATTCGAAATGTCTTCGAAATTAATGTCGAAAACTTCGAAATTTGAGACGAAAATTTGAATTTTTATTGACCGTTAAGAAAAATGTAAACAAATCAAAAAATTTAAAATCAAAATCAATGATTTAAGCTTCTTTTAACAATGATTTAACTAAATTAACATAATCTTAATTATGTTTCATCACTATTAAATAGTTCACATTAGAAAAAAGAGCTTCAATTAACAATTAATTAACAAATTTATAATTCGTGAAAAAATTCACTAACACATTTACAACTTTTGTTTACTTTTGATATTTTTGTTCTGAAAATTTTTTAAATCACCAATTCTTGCATTTACTTAAGCATTTTCAGTTCAAAAACATTAAAAATATGTCAAAGATTATTTTTTTTAAAGAACTAAACAGTTAAAAGCTTCGAATTATGTTGAATAAAGTTTTTTTCCAACGGTTAAAAAAGATTCAAAATATTTAAAAAAAATCGGTAAAACTTCTGTAACTGACAATTTTTAACGTGACGTTAGTCTGGTTTGAAGTTCAATATTTGAATTTGATCCTCGTTATTTCGATATTCAAATTTGACAATCGAAGATTTAATAAGATTCTTTGAATCACAATTATATCAATTTAAATGCCTGAATCTATCCAAATCAGTCACTTTTAATAATACTTATCTATCTATTCCAAATAAACTTATGCCCAAGAGATCAAAATTTTGTATCTTCAAGCAAAACAATTAGGAATTTCCTAATAATTCAAATGACAAATGCCAACTCGTGGATGGATTAAATAAAAAATTATTCAAGTTTTAAAAAAGTTGCAGCATTTAATTATCCATTAAATATTCATTCAGAAGCTTAAATCTGTTGCTGCATGACTCAGCGACAAATGCAAATTCAAACTGCTTGCTTAATTAATTTTGTGATGCCAATAAAATTGTTGATTAAAAATGCAATGAAAAATTCTTGAAATTCTTTCCGGTTGCCTGATTTTGTATCAAATATGACTGAATAATAGACCCTCAAGATGGAAAGGAACTCAATTATTCAAATAATTTACAATGAAAAGAAAGAAATCTTAAAAGTCGTTATTTATTGCTAATAGTTCCCGCATATCATAAAATCCTACAAAAAAAAACAAAGTATCAAAAGAGAATAAGAAAAAGGAGACAAAAGCATCAAAGTTAGTGAACCCGTTGAGGCTCAGCACGATTATTAAAAAACAGGGGTTTTTAATGTGTTGAATCATCGATCAGAAGAACTTTTTTTATAATTTTCAATTCTATTATTTTTTTTTCGTTAATCTTGATATGATGTTCAGCATATAAAATTGCTGTTCATGCAAAAGAGAAGGGAGGTAAGGAGATATAGAAAGAGAGAGAGAGAGAGAGAGAGAGAGAGAGAGAGAAAAATGAAATAGAATTTCTAGAATAGTTTCAAGCATGCATGTTCCAATTATTCCTCTCAAGAGATCAAGTTTTTTTTTTTATAATTTCAATTCTTTTTATTTCATTTGCCTTAAAGCGATGTGTTCAACAGTGTCAGATGTAGCCAGCACACACAAATACAGACGTGCACACGTGTGTAGATTGAAAAACATGTTCTTTAAGCCTTTTAGTCCACTTATTGTTGACTGTGTATGATGTCTAT